TCGATGATACTGTGAATTGTGATCTATACTCCTATACAACTCCTGGCAAAATCAGTGTAAGCCTCAATCAATGAAATGAAAATGAAATTAGAGTGTAGGAATGTGATAGCGATTTAGTGCTACGAGCACCATGGCAAGAGACGACAAAAGCTTAGAAAGAAATAATGTCGGAGTGGTTGAGTTTGCTGAAACTAACTAATTTTGACTGGGCTAACTTGATCAAACTAAGTTCTATAAAATGTTAAAGAGACAGCAGGGCAGATTCAAGTACTGTATGTGTATTCTTTTCAAAACATAGCTCTACAAATGCCGGCTAGATAATGTCGTCTCTCAAGCAAGAATGTACACGATGCTAAGGGATATGTAGAATATTTTGGAAGAATTTAATGCTAGTTAACGCCCCTACATATATGTTACAGGTTCAAAAAGGCGGACATTTCGAATAATGCTGCTATCGCTAATCTTTATTCATTAGCGTTTGATGCATGGTACAATCCTGCAATACATTATGGTGTAAGAAACATGGAAGTTAAGTATGACGACGAACGTCTGGAAACCTTTGTAAATGTATGTTCACTCCTTTAGGCAATGTGAAAATATCAAAACTGTTTCAGAAATTTTGTAGCGTGTAGAAAAATGTAATTCCAGATGGTTTATGCAAATGCTACAAAAATGGCGTGTTATTATAAAGAGGGTCCTGCTGGTGGTCCTGCTACAGAACTTTACTTTTCATGCATCTTTAATGCTAAGTGAGTCTCTTTAAATATTTGCGTAATTCGTAATACCTAAAGATTTTATCAAGCAATACACATCTTTTATTAGCAGCACGACATTTACGTTAAGGAGAATTTATCTAAGCATTGACGTTTACAAAAGATTTGTGCATGAAGCCTTAATTTCCCGTAAGGAAGAGATTCTAGGTAATTTGGGCTGCTCAAGAAATATAGAGTATAGAATAGATGCGCTTTGCCAAGTTTGTCTTCCCTTTACAGCAGGCTTCTTATGAAAAAAGTTAAAGATCCAGTTCCTTGAAGTCCATTAGGTATTGTATGAAAAAGGTATATTCTGACCTTTGTGTAATCAACAAATTCTCTATTTAAGAGCATACAAGGGCAGCCTTATCTACAAAGAAGGATACAGCTGCCTTAATGATAACGAGTGTACCACATATCGGGGATCTACCTGTGATGCAGCTACTAGCCTTTGCGTGTACAGAGGGCCAATAAACCCACGTAAGTTGCTTTCGATTAGCAACAAGAACGTAGTTCTCCAACTGAGTATTCTTTCGCATTTAAATTACCTTCTTCTAAAGAAGAATGTCTACGTATTGTAACAGTGTCACAAACCACTTCTAGTAAAAGATTCTCTGTTCAGAGGCGATTCTATAGATTAGGTCTATAATAAAACACGTAAAAGAAAAGGCTTAGTTTTTTGCATCCAGCTCGCGAAAAAATTGGTTCACCTATCTGGAAACTTGTTCTTTAGTGACTGAGAATTGATAGTGGTGCTCTCACCTTATTTAGCCTTTTTTAACTGTACGAATGAGGCCAAGATCATTTCAAAAGTTTCTGGCACGCTGAATGCGAAATTTATAAATTACTCATACGTTTTGTTTATGGCATCCAAATATCTTTACTATGAATTTTTAGGGATGCTGAAGAGATGATTTCTTACAGTGCAATTACCATCTATTACATTATGAAGCTTCGAGCAAGATGAATATGTAGTCCGTATTTAATGTCCTCCAGAGTCTTTGTTATATCATTTCTT